AGAAAGCTGAGGTTACTGGTGTTACAGTAAAACGAATATCATTATGATAGGGGTAATAAAATTACAATATTAAAACATATACCTTTCGTACACTGCTTTCCAAAAGGTTTCCAAGTTTATCAACTAAAGCAGTGAAGTCTGGACGCTCTGCAGGTTCTTCCTTCCAACAGTCCTGCATTATGTTATACCTAAAATGGAAACAATTCTAACTATAATAAAGTGTAAAGTGTTACTATATGCAACAACAACTACAAGAAAACGTACTAGAACATAAATATACATATGATGTCAATGCTGGAAAAAACTTGTGTGAAATCCAATTGTTTATTAACACATTTGGAATATATTATAAAATATAAATACACTAATCTGGTTCATTATTGAGCAAACTTTATTTTTGGATACTTATGCTGTTTTTTCTAAACATTACTGCCAGAATATATTTCTCAAAGTTGAAAGATATTTCAGAATTAGTCATGCATGAGAACCATGTTGACAAAGCAACTTTATAGACCTTAGGTTTGCTTAATTATGTAAACGGTAACTTGGATGTGTTGAAACAATTAAAATTTAGTGCCAAAAGGACACATAGGATCTTACTTTTCAACACATTAACATGTAATACTTGTGTGACTGGTACATTATTTAATTGCACACTGTATAGAAATATACAAGAAAACAGCAGAAATTACTTGAAATCTGATGATGAACTAAATGGACATATTTCTTGTAGTAAATATAATATTTTATTAAAACCATCACCTTATAAAAATGAGTGAGTTCTATTTATGGTGTTTACCATGTGTAAGCAAATGCAAGATTTCAGACATTTAATAAACTAGATGAGGGATATGAGTATACAACAATTACATTTTTTACTTATTGTAAGTTAATAAAAGTTAATGAATTATGTATGTGATTATCAACATACAATGCATTATCAAAGGAAATTTAACAAGTATCAATGAACCAAAATACAGACATATAGGAGAACATTAGCTGATATACAATATTAAATGAACTTGTGCTAGGATGTTCTAAAGTTCCGTTTTTTTATGTATAAAAGTTAAACCAGTAATACCAACAAATGATACAATTCAGAAAATAAAAAAGGAAATTTCAAATAAGTATTATAGTGATCTTAGGTTTTGGTAACTGACAAATCCATGAAATTTACACAAGTTTCACAGTTTTTTTTATCAAAGAAGGTGAAAGTTTGTTCAAAAGATGGTGGAAGTGGTAATAAAGTGAACAATGGCAAGAAGAAAACTGACTTTTAACATCACATGTTTATAATTTTCCTACAAAATAACTATAGCATTTGGTAGGAATGTGGCATAAGAGGACATGATGATGTTATTAACAAAGTAGAATATTTGTAAATATGAATATAATTATTTGGGTGATTTAGAAGGTAAGTATCAAAATGTTTCTCACAACAATGTAAAATTATTAATTGTATTTTTGAGTGAATATTTCACCATTGTTCCAATTGAATTATACCTCAAAATTATTATGTGTATTAATGTGATTTACTGTTTTATTTACCTGATATATGTGTTACATGTTTATAACTTTGGATGGCTCATATTAATTACATACAATAAATGAAAGGATTGTTGGTCCTAAGTAAAACCACAAAAGGTACAATTTGTTTGACCAAATCAGAAGGTAATGTTGTGATAGGCATAACCAGTATGAAAATCTCATAACTATAAACAATATTCAAGGTTTTACTTTTTCTGCTCTGGTCCAAGCTGCCAAGATACAGTTTGCTCATATTTTCAATGTATTATAGTTCTGCCAAGATTTCTACAATTTATAGTTTTGCCAAAATTCCCTACTGTTACATTTGTTATTATAGCTTTGAATTTTGAAGTCTATATCAGGTGAGGCAGATATCCAAGTAGCAAAGTAGAAAATGGGGAGGAAAGGTGGGAAATACCAATTGGAAACATATTTTCAGTATAGGAAAGTTATAACTTCTGATATGGTACTTCCCTCTGCTCACAAGATTAGCTACAACCCCATATTGATTAGGTGGCGGGATCGGTTAAAGGGAATGACTGAAATACCACCAGAAAGCGTCCAATGGATACACCTGGAAATGAGAGAATCAGATCCAAAGATCTGATGAGGGGAACTGCACCTCTTCTGAAGCAGATATACTCTTCGCCCATCCATGAAATGTGTAGTAGATAAGGGCAGTAAATGAGAGGAGCACATACAAGTAGGAGAGAACTGTGTCAGGATAGTGATCCTAGCCATGTAAAAATATATGTAACTCAATTCCACAAAGTATATAAGTGAGTAAAACAATGGATGTGCCCCTAGGTGTAGAGTGGCTAGTATATGTGACAGACCATACTCATTTAGTCAACTACATTGAAAACCCATGCCACTGGGAAACGACATCCACGTGGGGGAACGATGAGGATCATACCATTTTCACTTCAAGTTCAAGTGACCAGGAGGGGGGGGGGGGAGTCTAGAACCACTCCGACTCCTGAGCATGACACATGTGTCAGCATTGATTTATCGATCCAGGAACCTGACATCCAGTATTGAAAGGATGTTTATATAATATAAATCAACTCTCCCCCAACAGTGAAACTGACCAGAACTATCCAAAAAGCAATAACATTCTTGGAATAAGATATAATGAGGGATAGCAAAAAGAACAGAACTGGAATAATTCCCCTTGCCTCCACTGTGACTCACAACACACAAGGAGTATGATTGAGGGAGGAATATAGACAACCATAAACATGTGTGAGGACTTATGTTGACTGGTTCTATTTTAAATCCAAAACCAAGCCAATGGGTACATCCACATAGGAGTAGGATGAGAGCTCCCAATCAAAGGGGTGAACTGCAATTTGATGTTTCACTCCTTTGTGAGTGTATATTTCATATTGGAGGATACTTCATCATCTACACCTGCAGAACACTACTATCCTACTCTGTGCTGAATGGTTATAGCCATCTTTGTTAGGAACCCATTCAAGAGGATGCCTGCATGGTTGACCACCCTAGCAGTTTGCAACTGGATAGTGCTAAGAGCTCTCATACTCCACTAAAAGAAAGGGGGATGAGAACACAGTGGAGAGTCCGGAGGAATTTCCCCACCTGATACAGTGAAATGGGTGACCACGTAACCCTATTTTGAAAAGCAGACCATACTGATTTATTCAATACAAGGCATAGCATGGGTGGGCAGCTATCCCTTTCTGCTTTACCCATGCAGTCCATGGGTGGAGCAGTCTGGAACAGAGAAGTTTATGAAACATTTGCATTGTGAGATTATTCACCTACTAGCAATCTTGTGGAACACCCCATCTCAACAGTGAGCATTGCAAAGCCATGGAAGATAAAGAGTGTGTCAACATGGTGGTACAATGCAGACTTCAAGTTGAAGAATACCTGGTCAGCCACCACTCACCACAGAGCAGGATCCATATAATGAGTAATGAAGCAAGGGTCCCTGAAAGGAAAAGTATCAATATAAACTTACCCAGTCAAAGTCGCACTGAAGCCTAAAGAACGGCCACAGGTGGATGATGAAGAAACCACAATATGGTGTAAATAATGAGAGATGAACGTATTAGATGTAGTCCACATGCCCATCTGTAGGATTTTCTCCATTGGCCGATGAAGACAAGATGCAAGAGAAAAAGTGACATGTCAACTCTGATTAGAAGACATCTGGAACAAATTTCGGAAGGTAGAAGATAAGGAGAAAGAAGCCAATTGAATCAAAAGTCGAATTCAATTGGTGAGGGTAGAAGAGGGAAGATAAACTGTCATGGGATAAAGAGTCAGGAATGAGTACCACGGAATGAAGACATGTGGGCAATATAATAACGAAGAGTATGGACCGGACATAGAAGTCTATCTGGATCCAGACAAGGGTAGAAATGAGAAACAGATGGAAGGGAATAGGCAAAAAGGAGATACCAAAATCTTTCGTAGGAAGGAACAAACTGGATAAAGGAGAAGATAGGTATGGTGGTAAAGCATACTTAAAACATCAATAGCAAACAAATCAGCCCTTTTACATCCACAGGTTAAGAGGAGAAGGAAATACATTTTAAGGGAAAGGTGAAACATGGAACATGAGGTAAGTGGTTCAAACAGATGTAATGTGAGGGAATGGAGGACCACATTAATATCCCAGGAAAAGAAGAGTCGGCTATCTGGGGGGGGGGGGGGCGGAATCTGGGAGAAATGTATTGACATGGTAAGGACAGGGGAAACAAAAACTCGATGGTATCGGGAAAAACGAAAGGCATGGGATAAGGCAGCCTGATAACCCAAGAGCAAGGAGACCAAAGACCCCCCGGCAAAATGCAATGTGAAAAACTCTGCCACTCTAGCCACCATAGGTTTGTCAGTGGGGAATCCCTGAGTCTCAGACCAATTGTGGAACATATACCATTTCCACTGATACACCTCCATTAAAGATGGATGTATGGAATGAGCTAAAAGGAAAGCTACTCGACAGGAGAAACCTGATCTCCTCACAAAGGACCAGATAAAAGCCAGGCATGAAGACGAAAGATGTAAATGGCTGGATGTAGAACCAGTGACAAGGGTTGATGAAGAAGGGAGTGAGACAAAGAAAGAGGTACTGGAGGGAAAAGTTGCAGTTATTGTAACTATGGAAACCACAGTTGAGCTGGCCTATAAGGAGTGATTAGAAGGACTCGACATGGAGTGGAATGGATGAGTGAGATCACCCAATGAAGTAATTGGATAGGAAGGTAAACATAAATTAATTTGTGGGACTAATCCTGCCTGAAGGCATTGATAGCCAGAGCCCGAGGATGAGGTACCAGGGACCAAAAGAGGGACAACCTGTGATGAAGGTGTGTGACAAATGCATCTACCTGGGAAAAACTCCACCAATTGCAAAGCCACCAGAAAACGAGGGGATCTAAATATTACTCTGTCAGATATATTTGGTCAGAGCAGGAAAAATGATCCACTACAAGATTGAAAGCACCCAGAACATGACAAGCAATGAGATGAATGTGGTGCATTTGGGCACAATATAGTAGATCCAACATTTGAAAACAGACAGATCTCGACCTGGTACTCCTTCGGGGATTGGTATGTGCTACCACCATAGAATTATTGGAATGAATCATCACCAGACTATGAGGAAGGAAGTGATTCAAAGCCAAATGGACAGTGAGAAGCTCAAGGACGTTGATATGCAAAGACATTTCTACAGACCAATGACCCAAAGCCTCCTGGTGATTGACCCATGCACCCCAGACCTAAAGGGATGTGTTTGTGAAAAGATGTAAATCCAGATGAGAAGGAAGAAGCAGGATGCCCACTGATGTATGGGGTTTGTCCAACCATCAATGCAAATTGTCCATCAGGGTGGCAGGAGCTGACAAGGGATCCCAAGCAAGGCTCCATTGATCGTGAAGAGCCCACTGAAGGGATCACATATGTGTATGTCCAAGAGAGACCAGTGACATCATTGAAGACCACATCCCCAAAAGCAATACAATCTCATGAGCTTAAAAAGTGTGGCAAACTAACAGTTCCATAGAATGAAGTCACAGAGGAGAATTTTGGGCCTGACTGAGATAAGTGTTAAAAAAAGACACCCAAGTTGGCGAGATATTGGGTAGGTTGGAGGAAGAACTTCTCCAATTTGATTAACCAGCCCACCCAATCAGCCATTAGAAGAAGCTAACGAGTATGGCTGGACAACTCCAGTTTGGAATGAGCCATAAGAAGCCAGTCATTCATATAATGGTGGAATCACAATACTGAGCATGCAGATAGTGAGCAAAAGCTCTGACCACTCGACAGAAAATATAAGGGGTGGAAGCAAGCCAGAAGGGTAGGGTGCAAAATTGATAAAGCACACCATGATGGACGAACCAAAGATACGGACAAGACCATGGTAATATAGGGATGTGGAGATAAGCACTGGTGATTTCCATCTTGGTCATCCATAAACCCAGAAAAAAAGCCCACAGCAGGGTGAGAAATGACTCTATGGTAAAACAGGGCAGTTGAACGAAGCAATTGAGATGGGGTAAATCAATGACAGACCTCCAGCCCCTTGTTTTCTTGGGAACGTCAAAGAGTCTGGAATAAAACCCTGGAGAAGGATGTAGAACTGGTTCAATGGCCTGATGAGATAGTAGTACCTGAACTGCCTCTGACAGATGCTGACTTGTCATGGGATCCTGAGGTGGAGGGAAGGAAATGGGTATAGGAGACATCGGAGGTGGGGGAAAAAATGGGATCACGAATCCTTCTGATAAAACTTGAAGAAAATTGGCAGAGACGAGGCACCCCAAGAAGAAGGGACAGGTAAGAATTGGGAAGGGGAGGGACTGGGAACAATAACTGGTGCACTATTGGGCTCCGACTGAGATAAATGGACAACAAAGTTGGGAAGCTTAGACAGTTGTTATACTGATGCAACTCGTGATTCCAAAGACTCAGGGATCATGTCAAAGATGTATCACCACAGAAATGGGACCTATACGTAAATCCTGAAGATAAGATGATGGTAAACGGATGCAAGTTAAAGTCGAATCAACAAACAACAAAAAAAACACGTATGTAAAGCCAGAGCTGAAGACAACAAATGAGCCAACATGGAGAAAAGAAGGGAGAGGATGTTCCCATAAAACCCACTCAGGATTTCTGTGGAGAGCCTCAATTAGGAGATGGATGGTATAGTGATAGGGGGAGCAGAAGGCTTGTGGTATGTGTAAAAGTAAAACATTTGCATATAGATGTCAGCACTGGACGAGAATAGCTAATCTTGTGAGAAGAGGGAATTACCACATTGGAATACAATAATTAATAAGGTCATTAATCTAAACATCCAAGCTGTTCTATAATATAATGTAGAATGTCTTTAACCAGTGACAGTTTATTGTAGAGGTCACTGTTATGCACCACTTCAATCACTTTGTCTATGGGCTTCCATGTGTTGGCTTTTAAATTAATGAACGTGCACAACTACAGACTGATAGTGTATGCGTAAGTTTTGGTATGCTAAATTAAGAGATTGACTGGGCATTACAGGTCATCTATAAAAGTAGATAATCTAACAACTTTACATCACGATGACTTGACATCGTATACACATGATGGGCACAGGTTAGCTCTGTGGTAGAGTTCTGAATTTTAGAGCTGACAAGCTGGATTCGAATCTATGTGAACCATAAAATATTCTCTACACTCTGAGATCATGGGTGCATTAATAAGAAGTAAAGTCGAATCCCACTATTCAGTCTGTGAAGAGTAGACATCAGTAGCTTTGCATAAAAGATTTACACATAGAAAAAAATTTACTGGAAAATGTTTTATTAACATTTTACCAAATGGCAACATTGAATCAATTTTGAACAAACCATGTAATGCCCAACAAAAAGCATCATCTGTTGGTCCAATTAAACCAACCTTGGTGTGCTATATTGGTAATTAATATTGAAAGCTAGAATATTGTTGTCATCATTTTGGCTAAAGTTGTTTAATCAATGTTAGTCCAATGAGCTCTCTTCAGAATTTATGTAATGGGGTCACATAAGAATAAAAGTTTGGGAAGTGTTGTTCTACTCTCAAGTATATTTAACTATCCTTGCATTTTTTAAAGATAATATTCAATTTCTAACCAATTACAGAATCACTCACTAAAAAATTAATATTTTTTCTAACCAGTTTTCTTCATAACATTTTATTAAGAGTTTTCTTTCTCACACAAAATCTAATTATGGTATATTTAGCTTTATAAAATCACCGTTGTGATGATTGAGCATTTATTCATTTAAGAATACTTCTTAGAAGTGCATAGAAGCTATTATTAGTACTTACACATCATCAGGACACAGTTCTGGTTTTTCCATTCTGTACCCATTTTTTAGTTTCTTATAGAATTCTTCATCAACATCAATCCCTGGATATGGATTACTCCCAAGGGTAAAGAACTCCCACATCAAAACTCCAAAGGACCAACTATATCACACAGGTGTAAAACAAGAATTAGGATCTAATTTCTGTAGAAAAATAACTACTTAAGATATATCTCACTTTTTTAAGCATTAAATCATTTTCTGATCTTTGCAATTTTGCAAAATATAGTTATATAGCAAAAGAAACTTATAAAGTATTGAACATTTTAGTAGTGTGAGTTTTTCGTATTAATTTATTTTTCTTGTTTTGAACAAAGCATTAAAGGATATCTTTTCAAGAAAAGAAATACTTTAAATCGTTTTTTATTGTGTTTTGTATGAAATGTTTAGTAAATTTAATTTCTTATATACAGAACAATGCTAATTCAAAGTATTTGACATCTTTAAGCTTAAAATTATGCCAAATTTTAAAAAAATCTTTAAATAAACTGTACTCGTTTGTCACACATTTCAACATTATTTTAAAGTATACTTGAATAAATGAGAGAACGTCTACTTCTATTTAATATAATATGACTTGGGTGAACAAATTCTTCATTATGAAATTCAACTATACTAATGTTTTTGTTGTATTAAACAAAACAATATAATGATATTGCATATAGCTCTAGATATGGATAATACAGAGCCACATAGAAAGTTGTGAGCAGTATTAAGTTACCTACTATTTTACTTGTTTAATATTCTTTTTATAGAATTTTCTTTAGTTGCTTACAAATAGTATTATTACACATTTACTCAGAATATGAAACCATATTTACATAAATCTATTATTTCCAGTCTTTATACATAAACATTACTATTTCACTTTCCATCTGTACATATTCTGCAGGAGAGAAAGCACAAATATTTTCAACCAAAGACTCCACTACTTTTTTCAAACTAAATTTGTGTAGTTGTGTCCCTATTACTCAATATCTCAACTTACACATCACTCTGAATGGTAAAGACTTTATCTCTTATTGACTCAATGGCCATCCACTTGACTGGCAGGGGACCCTGTAGCATAAAATTGCATATGAAGAAGTTTGAAAACAAATAGTTATCAAGAAGCCAAAACAGACATAAATCAAGTTTTTCATTTTTCCTTCATTTATTGAAAACATAACTGGAGAGTTATTGTTATTTATATTACATTTAATAAAAATTATATTTCATTAGAATAGGACAACATAGAACATTATTCTTCAACAAATATGAAGATACAACATGACAAACTTTAAATATATGGTGTGTATAACTTTTCTGCAGATCTAGAGCATCTATGTTAGTTTAACTCATTATGAAATGAGTAACAAACTGTTATTTTTAAACAATTCAAGAGAAAAGTTTTTTGTTTTTGTTAGGTACAAAGCTACACAATGGATTCTCTGTGCTCAGATCACTTCCAAGTACCCAAATCGAATTTTTAGCATTATAAGCATTCAGATTTGCTGCTGAATCACTAGCGGCTCCTAGAGAAAAGTAAAGTAGTAACAAATATATCAAAAACACCAACTAAACTAACAAACTTTAACCAGCTCATATGCACTTTATTCTTATAAACATATTGTTCAATGATACGTGCATTCAACTATTCCTTTGACTAAAGAAAAAGAACCAGCATAAGAAGTCTTCAATATGAAACTAGAAGCAGAAAGAAAAACTTTTTTTCTGATACAATAACTGCCTTGAAAGTTGATTAAATAAAATGCTTATTTTCAAACTCTACTTAATAACTTTATTAGAAAAACTATAAACATACATCTCCTTTCTTGACATAATTGGAGTATTTATAACAATCTTTTGCAAGGCCAAAATCGCATATCTTCACAATATTATCTTCTGATAACAGGACATTTCTGGCTGCCAAGTCTCGATGAATAAGCTAAAAAAAAAGTGTTTTTAATAATTAACTTTCATTATTTCAATTACTCTCCTACTTAAGTGTAAATATTCTATTGTATTTGTATTTGGAAATATGTTTAGCTGAAAACTGACACTTCGTTTTCCTTTTTTATTTTCTATATCAAGCTGAAGGATTATCTAATGATAATTAGTGTAGATTTAATATGATATTAATATATAAAAAGCTGTAGTATAATTACACAGGCCTGTGACGGTTTATTGTCTTGATATTTTTACATGTCCTACAGTAATTCCTGTATGCTGAATCTGAAAATGATATCCATTTTTCTCCATCACCCACAGATTTTTCACAAAACGTCATAATGCAATACAAAAAGAAAGGCAACAACAGGTAGTTTTGAGACTAAAAGACATAGATTTCACAAAGAAAATCAGGATGAATGAGGATGCATATTCGTTTGACATCATTGTTCATCCCTTTTCTTCAGTTTGTCCGTATTTTTCTTAACAAGAGAAAGAGTTTTTTTCTTCCTGATTTCTACAAAATCCTTACTTGATATAAAAAAATGAATTTTATTTTTGAAATCTGCACAGCTGAATTATGGAATATCTGTTATTAAAACGAAAACAACTTTTATGAAGTTTAAATTCGCACGCATGTGTTATCACAGTAGATATACTCAATAAGTCTCAATTCTTAATTTGCACTACCAATTAATTCAAAATCACAAGCCTTTGTTGGAGTTCTATCACATAACACATGATTAAATGATTACTTAATCATAAGTGCTAACTTTGATTCATAATTATACAAATCCAGAATGTTGAATCATAAAAAAGTAAAACATTTCTTTAGCTTTACTGTAAGAATAATAATATTCTCATGTCAAAGGTTTCTTATTATTTACAGAACAAAGAAAGTCATCATTAAGAATACTTAGAGTTTCAGTCAGCTGTAAGAATCCTACAGACTAATTCCAGAAATAAAGTAAGATAAAACTATATTTTCATCATAAAAATGTGTTCTGAAACATGTAAGTCAAGGAAGTTATATTATACTTTATATTTTATTTTGCACAATAGCTAATATATTTTCTACTAATATTCTCCCACTTAGGACTCAAATCCTCTTAGCTTATTGGTAACCATGGATATCCAACTTCAAGCCCTGGGGAAGAGAAATTTCGGAAAATCCTGATTCCTTATATTGGCACTGAGCTGATGATCATTACAACTGTGACCTAATCTTTCACATGCATTTGTGTTTTCAGTTGTATGTTGTACATCAATGAATTCAGCTTTTGAGTTTGAATTCTGTGTCACATTGAAGGTTAGATGATGAACCTTGTTTTAGTGGTGGAATATGTAATGGGCAGGATAAATGTATCTGTTTTGGACACAACTTCTTAATTGTAGCTCACTTGGTAGAGCATTTACAGATTATCTTTTTCATTATATTGCATATATTGTATAATGAAATATACATATTTCTGTGTTGCAAACAACAGCACAGTTGTTTAATTTAGTAGCGTGTAAAGTCTAAAATACTAGTAAACAAATGATATAAAAATCAAAGAACATTCTGTAAAATATGAACAATTAACAAACAGAATAATAATAATTGAAAAGGGAAAACTAACTCTATTGAAATGAGAACACTCACAAGGGTTTACTAGCATGACTTGCCCCTTTCAAGGTTGGAAATTACTATGTATAAAATCATTAAACTGGTTTATAAAATATAAGTATCTCTGCTTCATGTGACAATTGTAAAATCTCAATTTCAGGAGTATGTTGGATAGAATAAAACTATCCCATGAAATACTAAATAGTAACCTTGATAAATTCATACCATGCTACAGAGAGCAATATCAAGAGCTTAATTGGAATATTTATTAAACCAGATTTATGAAGTTGTCATTTAGAATTCTAGCAAAAAAGATATATATATATATATACTGTAAAAGAGTTGGAAAATATCTTATCTGCATACCACAAAAAATAAACAGCATGTAAAAATTATATGTTCTGACCTTTCTGGACTCCAAGTATTCCATTCCTCGAGAAACTTGAAAAGCCCAACATAGCAAGTCACAAGTTGACACAGCCTCATTTGAAGTATCATCTTTTTTCTTAACAGATGCTCTGTTAAAATATCCTGAATTAACAGTTGAACTTCTACTACTCACGTCAGTGAACTCAGTCGACTCTGAATCTTTTACTCCTCTTCCTGTACTGTTTGAGGTTGATCTTGTAGTTTGATCATGTGTGAGTTCCACATATTTTATGGATTCTTCCCTAAGTGGTATAAAAACAATAAAAACATTATTTTTTTCTTTTAAAAAATGTCAGACATTTTACAAAAATCTCAGTATAAAGTTTTCAAATTAATTTAAGTATACACTGCAAATGACAAATGCTTCTGCTCAGTAGTGGACTTGCTTGGTTATAATATGAGTAAATATACTAAAACCTACAAATGAATATATATGTGCATGTACACATAAACATATGTTGATACTTACAACTTCAAGTTATGACATATTCTTTCTTTGAAAAAAGACCAAACTGATGTAATCAGATAACAGACATTTATAATGCAGTTTTCTTTTTTACATTAAAACTGTTTAAGAAAAACTAAAATAAATAACTCATCTGAGAAACACATAATTTGTTTAAATATTTTTATACTGTGGGTTTTGTATAAGGATATTTTTATATTTTGAAAACAAGAAGTCAAATGTGTATCCTCACAAGTGCATAACTAAATAATTTGTAAAGGAACACAAATATGTATTAGGTATACCTAAGATACCTTTTCATTTAGGACTAATTGTGAAAAAACAGTAATATATAAGTGTACAACAACAAAAAATATTTAAATTTTTAACCAGAATATTTCAATTGTTGTAGTTGATGAGGCATGTTATAATATATTATGATCAACTTCCAAACTTACAAATAGTTGTAAAAAAAATAGATTAATAAATTATAATTTATTAATAAAAATAAATATTTGTTTCCTCAATTGCATAACAAGTGCTAAGTGTAGAGTTCTGAGGTTTGAATTATTCTGAATTGAAGAGCAAGAGTAGTAATTCTTTTGTAAGTACAGCTACACTGGCAAATTACAACAGTACAAAAAAATAAGCTCTAATATTCAAAATACCTAAGAACTCGAATTAGTATGCTTCATATAAAAATAATGAGAATGAAAAAAAAATCATGTAGACACATGCAGTCAGGTTTGTTAAAAGTAAAAATGTAGCATTACAGTATTTTATGTATTATGGATACACTGACATTAAAACACTAATAATATAACAATAATATTTTTTGTTACTGATAGCTTGCTACTGGGGCATCAGAACTAGTAATGTGAAACAAGACATTATGCTTTTATTTTAGAAATAAAATTTTAATATTTTACATGTATACAAGTGCTAAAATTCACAGTATAAATATGGTATTGCCACTTTGAATAAGCCTTAATAAAAAAACTTTAGATGCATTCTTATAAATTACATCATACAGCTTTAAGAGAAGTAGGCATTTTTTTTCTAAATTAAAAGCAAAATAATAATTTCATAAAGATTTTTTTTTCTGTATCACCTAAACGACATAATTCTACATAATAATATGAAGTGACATATCTGTAATTAAATAACAAACAAATTAATAAGAAAAGAAAAAATTTAACCATGGACTTTTTTCATTATTTTAGAACCAAGAAAAAATTACTTTTTTTTCATGCTTACTTTTTGTTCATCACTCGATCTGACCCAGGCAGAGTACAGATATTTGGATCAATCTTTCCAGTCTTGGGATTAAGTTGACTTATGAAATTTTCTCGATTTTGAAGGAGATAGTGACGAATGTTGCCATAGCAACAATACTCTACTATTACCATAAGCTCTCCTAATGGAACAAAGTGAAATTTATTATTTACAACTATATTGGAAGAAAATATTTATTACACCATTATAACTGAAAGCTTCTAACAGATAAACAATGAGTAAAAATAAAATCAAAAGTCAAATATGTTTGTAACAAAATGCATGTATCTGTGAGCTATGTCTTTCAAAACAAAACATCACACAAACTCTGGAGCTAAAATAGCCTATAATGTCAAGAGTTGTATGTTTTGAACAACATATATGTACCAGAGGCAAATAAATCATAAATAGTTCACTGTGTTAAGACTACAGATTAAATGTTGAAAATAAATGTGAAAGTTTCTCACCTTTAGTAGCATTGCGAGTAACAGCACCCAGCACATTAACTATATTCAAATGATGCCCCAAGTGAATTAAAATCTTTAATTCTGCCATCAAGGCTTTCTTCTGTTCTTGATCCGCATGCTCTGGTTAACCAAGAAATAAATTAATCATGATCTATCTGAAAGTCGGTGAAGTACAAGTGTAGTTTAATGATATTTTACATCAAAAAAGGAAAAGCATTGCAATTCATGATAATGGAATTTCATACTGATATGAATATCTATTTCCTTTCAGTCATTTTATGCAATGAGACAACATAATACAGAATATACAATATTTTTTCTCAGTATTATAACAATTAAAACATTTTTCTCATTCACCTCATATAATTCTTAAAATTATGTTGTGTTGTATCTTATAACCAACAAAGGTATTTTTCTCCATCTTATAAAGTGAGTTTTAATGTCCCCTATTTCTAACACAGAAACAATTTCTGTCATGTGATATTGATATATGGAAGCATTTCTAGCTGGTAATTAGTTTAGAAACAAGTTCAGAACATTAAGGAAGCATTTATAGCTGATAATTAGTTTAGAAACAAGTCCAGAACATTAAGGAAGCATTTGTAGCTGATAATTAGTTTAGAAACAAGTTCAGAACATTAAGGAAGCATTTGTAGCTGGTAATTAGTTTAGAAAGAAGTTCAGAACATTAAGGAAGCAAGATTAACCTTTTCATCTGAAAGAGAAAAAAAAAATCATAGCAGATTAGCATCTGAATTATGCATTAGAATATTTTTAACTCCCTGAAGAAAAATACCCATTAGTTACAGTTTAAAATAATTAATTATCATAATACAGTATAAAGCAACCCCAGTGGCTCAGTGACAAGATTGGAGGTTTACAATTTACATTGAAATTTATTGTTTCATACCCATGGTGTGCACAACACAGATCACCCAATGTAAAGTTTTGTATTTAATAAACACCAAAATACAGTGTAAAAATGGGAAAAATGTAAAAACGTTTTTATAATATTTGACATTTTTTGGTGTACAGGTACAGTTATATAAGTTAACAATTTTCCATCAACTCAAAATATTTTTTTGTACTTAAACCTTTACAAAAAACTGAAGGGACGTTATACATGTATAAATCAAATGCTATAATAAAAATATATGAAACTGAATGTATCAGCTTATACTGGTGGAAGTTTTTCTCCTTACATTATCAAAAGTAATTCAAACACTGTAATTCATGTATTTTTGAGTTTAGACACATGATAATATGAACAAATAAATAAAATATTCAATAACCATAAAAAAAAATTATCCAAGAAAAAAGAAAAGATTTAAGTGCACTAATAAACACAAATGTAAATAGGAATATATTTATATTCAGAACTTAATTAAGTTGCACAAGCTTTAATCTTTCCAACTGCAATGAGTATTAATATAAAATTTCTGACAAAGATAAATACATATATAATAACAATTCAAATTATCAGACCTTTCTTTATATGCCCATACAGCTTCAGAATATTATAGCAATATGAAACCTATAATGGCTGAAGACGGCTTGAATGGGTAATGAAGAAAAACTTTAATACAAGTTTAACATAACCGCAAATGTACAACGTTTCGACAAGGTTTTGTCATCATCTGGTACATGTAATTTACAGTGACACGGATATATATATATATATATATATATATATATACACAGTATTGAACAAAGAAGTCACATGACCAGAACTGTTG